GTGCATATAGTGCTCTAAAGCCGTAAAGTAAGTTTTAAAAGATGGGTCATTACATTCTTTTCTTAAATTATTTTACGTGTTGGGTGTTATATGTGCCTAATACTGACCTTGTGTAGTACTGCGGACCACAGTTTGAATTACAGTGGTGTAGCGTTTTTCCGCTCTGTCAACCCGCTCCGTGTGTGTCAGTTGTGGCTCTCTGAAACTCGCAATGGCCTCCCGGGTGGGGCTGCTTCTGTCATGGTTGGGACGATTCTCATTAACGGGAACAGAACCTTCCCCACCTCACCGTAAAACCTAAATAATTGACATGATGACGGACAAAGCAAGGAAATAGTTTGGCCCTCTTGGTTTGTTCACCTGTCTCCCGGCAGTTAAGCCCCAGTGTGCCGGCTGAGTGGTGCACCCAAACTTCCCGAGTGAGTGTGGCCACAAGTTTGAAGCTGTGTTTGCAATCTTGAGCCAGGTAGGCGCATAATGATTCGACGTTTAGAGCAGTTAATATTGAAGTCAAATTACAATTTCACCTGTTGTTCCTTTACGGGTGCTAAGCCTGGTCTCTCATACCAGTTATTTGCGGCTTGCCGTTTCGTCTCTGTCAAAACTTGGTGTGATTAGTGAATACTGAACGGGAAAGTATGGACGCGGTAAGAGGAACTGAGTGAAACCATGGAGAATAGCCCGTGTCTCGGCCGATATTCGAACCGAGTACGTCTAGAACAAAAGAGTCTTTGCCGCTACACCAGTTCACTCGATGTCTCACTCCAAGGGCACAAGGCTAGATTGTGATATAGCGCAGGTTAGGATATCTTGAAACGTTTCTGCGTACATTTCAGTTTCCTTCTTCAAGATGAGTGTGTAACAGCTTCAACGTATTACGCGAATAAACTTCGGAAGCTGATCTTTTTTATTAGGAGAAGGTAAATGGGAAACTAGGTGTAAGAACACACTTCGGCGTTTTTGAGAACAGGGTGGTTAGAAGAAATTTTTACGACTGAGCTAGGACAGATAACAGTAGAAACCTGAAGGTAACCGGACGCAGGCCTGCTTCATGAGGAAGCATATTTCACATTTTTTACCTAATATTTTTAAGATGAGTATATCAGTTATGATGAAATATAAGATATATACGAGTATAGTTTACAAAATTCCGTTCCGAAAACTTGAGGGCATCAGACCGCTTTAGATATCCAGGCGTAGATCAGTAATTTCTCTGCAATTCAATTCATCGCGGAGAAACAGGCTATGATTGTGGGATGGGAATCAGATGGCTTAGGATAGCCTCTATGTGTTGACTGCTGTGAACAAGATAATGAAACTACGGTTTCTAGCAAAACTGGAAAATGTCTTAAAATCTTCAAGGAAATCGCTGTAGCAGGAAGTCTGTAGATAGAAAGAGGGCTATCGGCCCACCCTATGCAGTGTACTCACTAGGGGCAGTAGAAAAGGGTTTGTTCGACGAACACGACTTTGTGGCAAACCTGTTTCTGAGAGTCGTTGACATCATCAGGGATCTTAACTGTGTCATTAACATACTGCAACAGAGCTACACAGCGGTCACACTCCATCAGAAGATGTTTTACTCCTTAATCACATATAGATATTGCTTAAGTACAAATGTACTGCACCGCTTTAGTAGGAACACACTATTGCTTAAGTTCAAACATGTTGCATTACTTAATCACAAAAGTATTATATTCCTTAACCGCAATCATTTGATATCTCTTAAGCGCAAATATGTTTTATTGCTTAAATACAAACGTGTTATATTATTTAAGCACAAATATGTTGTAATGATTACTCACAAACATGTTGTTTAAACACAAATATGTTGAATTTCTTAAGCAAAATCACGTTATGTCGTTTAAACATAAACATGTTATATTGCTTTAGCACAAACATGGTGAATTTCTTAAGCAAAATCAATTTATGTCGTTTAAACAAACATGTTATATTGCTTAAGCACAAACATGGTGAATTTCTTAAGCAAAATCACTTTATGTCGTTTAAACGCAATCATGTTTTATTGCTTTAGCACGATCGTGTTGTATTTCTTAAGCAAAATCACTTTGTGTCGTTTAAACACAAACATGTTATATTGCTTTAGCACGATCGTGTTATATTGCTTAAGCATAAACATGGTGAATTTCTTAAGCAAAATCACTTTATTTCGTTTAAACACAATCATGTTTCATTGCTTAAGCACGATCGTGTTTTTTGCTTAAGCACAAACATGGTGAATTTCTTAAGCAAAATCACTTTATGTCTTTTAAACACAATCATGTTTTATTGCTTAAGCACACTCATGTTTGGGACATGATTACTTTCCTTCTCAGTATCATAGAGTGGAGTAGCCGAGCCTCAAAGAAGGGATAACACACACTTCGAAAAATTGAGGTTTATTCGTGTGAGTTAAGAAGGGGTTTGTAAGTGGGAATTGCAGTGACGAGGACAGCCCCACTTATGTATTCAGCCACGTAAGCCCTTGTAATCGCCAACTCGTGCTCGGCGCAAGCACTCATTTGGCTTTGGGCCGGGAGGGCTCAGTCGGTACAGTGTCTAGCTCAAGGGTTGGACGACTGAGGAATCTGGGTTCGATTCCCGACAAAGGCAATATATTTCTTTTTTACGATGTCCAGACCGGCTATGGGACCCAGCCAGCCTCCTATCAAGTGGGTGTGGGGGTAAAGTGGCCGGGGCGTGAAGCTGACTACTCACCTCCGTCTAGCGTCGAGGTAAGCAGTGGTGGAGCCACACCTCTACTCCCCCATGTCATGATCAGATGGCATTTAACTCCACATTGCCGAACAGATCCGTTAAGTAGTAACGCCCTACACAAGTCCTCGGTTCGGGTTTTGGCCAAGACACTGATTGCACTGACTGAGGGGTTTCGTGGTTTTCCTTAGTTCCTTCTGGCAAATGCCGGGTTGGTACGTTGTTAAGGTCATGATTGTTTCCTCCCAAACCCTTTACAGTTCATTATTTAATGACGTTAATATTTATGGCTGTATAGTCTAACTGCTGGAAGCCTCCCGAAGAAAATTTGTACTTATTTACAAACAAGAATGCTTATGTCCACGGGGTCAATGCAAATTCCTTCGCTTGTTGAATTCTCAGTTTACAGTAGAGGCTGGAGTGAACATAGACAGTTGGAGAAGAGACTTATCTGCCGAAATGCTTCCGAAGTGTTTTGGTACCTCTGGGTACTCTTCATGATGTGACAACGTATTTGTGCTCCTGCCCTTTCTAGAATTTCATTTAAGTATCCGCCTTTAGAATTCTTAAGGCATGAAATAACACAACTAAACAGAATTTGAGTTTCTTGTAACATTGTATTGAAAAAGGAACAACCCCCCCTCTCTCACCATTTATTTGGAAAATTCGAGAATGCTGATTTGTGTCCATTCGCTGAACCTGTTTCTGGCAACAAGTCTCTCGGTTTGTCGCATGGCTGCGTTTTGTTGTTGTTACTTCTCAACGCACCCCCCCCCCCCCCCCCNACTTCCCATCACTTTCAGCGCTGCGTTCACACTCACTTGTCTTCAAAATTACAGGCTCGGTTTACGAAACTGGTCAAGTAGACGGCGGGGAACATGTCGGCTTCCTTCTGACGTCTCCCTTTATATTCCTTTCTTTCCTGGGCTATTTTATGTTATCTGTATTGTGCCTTCTCGTCCTATCCTTTCTGGCATCTGCAGCGACCTCCCCGATCTCCCCACCTCAACCTACATCACAACCCTTACCGGATGTGAAGCTTAACATTCTGCGGCCGTAAGATTAAGGTCAGATTATATATTTTGTTCAAGTCTCCTTAAGCATGATTGGATTGTGGGTAGATCATGTGAGGTTCAGTGATCAAACCTCACAAATAACAAGTTCACTGTCGAAACTTAGGTTCATCGGTTTTGGTAAACAACGGGATATTTCATTTTCTGATTAGTGTTTCTCGCGGCTCTCCTCAGCACCTTGAGAACCTGATTGGATCAAGACTTCTTCCTTCCAGATCCTTTCGAATTCACTATTCGTGAATGATCCAAACATTCGACACTACGTATCCTGAGCTATTGACAGGGTCGTGAACCATATCACGAAAAAAATGCTGGTTACACTTCATTGGAGAAACAGAGAACCTGGTTACTCTGCTGGGCAAGAAATGCAAACAGTTGCAGAGAAGATACATATATCTAGGTATCTTTATCCATGCAGATCTCGGTCAGAGTATTTTAATTTGTTTCGATTCCTGCACATTTGAACGTTGAGACATGTATTTTTTCATTTTTGCAAACTTGAATGTGAGACTTGTTACAATTGTTTATACCTGCATGTTTGATTGTGATTATTAATTAATTTGTTTGATTTCTGCATATTTGATTGCGAGCCTTGTTGTATTTGTTTGATCCTTGCAGATTTGATTCCGACCATTGTTTTACTTGTTTGATCCCTGCGGATTTGATTGTGAGCCTTGCTGTATTTTTTATTCTTACAAATTTGATTGTGGTTCTTACTTAATTTGTTTGATTTCTGCAGAGTTGAGTGAGCCTTAACAGACTGTTTATCCATGCAGATTTGAGTATGTTTCCTACAGAATTTGTTCGATCCCTGCAGATATGATTGCAAGCCTTGTTTTATTTGTTGGTCCCTGCATAATTGATTGTGAGCTTTGCTGTATTTTTGATTCCTGCAGATTTGATTACGAGCCTTGTATTTGTTTGATCCCTGCAGATTTGACTGCGAGCCTTCTTTTATTTGTTTGATCCCTGAAGATTTGATTGCGAGCCTTGTTGTATTTTTTTATTCCTGCAGATTTGTTAGCCTCCCTTGTTTTTGTTTGATCCCTGCATTGATCCCTGCAGATTTGACTGCGAACCTGGTTGTATGATCCCTGCAGACTTTATTGTGAGCCGTGTTGTATTTGTTTGATTCCTGAAGATTTGAATTTTAGTCCTGTTGGATTTCTTTCATTCCTGGAGAGCCTTACTGGATTCCTTACATATGTGCAGATTTGAGTGGCTCCGTACTGGATTTCCCGTGCCGCTTCAGCCACCATATGGCTGGCTACCTCAAGTCGACGGCGCCACCCGTGCCATCTCACCACCAGTTCCACCCCCCTCACCACGGCGTGCAGGTCCCTGGACTGGCGGGGCCCTTCGGCTTGCCTCACGCGCTAGAGCCTGTCCATCCAGCCGTGGGGTTCCCGCAAGGTGAGTGGTGTCCTGTGACGGGCACTTAACGCCCTGAGTAGGAAGATACGGTCTCTTGGGTCTCAGTTTGCTAAGTTCGTAATGGTGTGACGACCATTATCACTACCTGATGAACACGCGTCCCGGAGCATATTACAGACACAGTATACAGAGTTATATCCACTTGTCGTGGCCGATGTTAACAAGAAACTTATTTAGATAGTTGGAAATTAACTGGTCCGAAAAGAATTGCTGTAGAGGTGCCAGGTTAGCTGTGATCCAGCCTAGAAGACATGCCTCTGGGTCTAGTCAGTTACAGAAGGGCAATTATTTCATGTTTGAATCCCTTATTTTTTTTAATTTATTGAGATATGACGCGAGATCTGTAAATGATGAAAGGAGAACCGAAATGGAGTATGGTTCAGCTATCGTAGACACAAGACCCTGCAGGTTCTAAACGGATCACCCTGTATAATGACGAGACGTGTAATGCAGCTCCAATACAGGCGAAACGGATCACTGTATAGTCACGAGAAGTATGATGCAGCTCCAAAACAGGCGAGACGGATATGCCCGTCAGTCTCGCTTCCCCCGTCGGCACTGCGGCAGCACGACAGAAGCCATAGCGGTACCACTGCGCCCGGGGTCACATGACACCGAGCGATGGCGTTTGTTGGCTTCTCCTTCCGCTGAGTAGAGCTGTGTGGGTAATCCAATAATCCAACACTTCCACAAGGCCGTCTGCAAGGACCCATCCCTTTCACTGTCTACCATAAAACATTTCTTTCGGCAAACACAACTCTGTTACCAATTAACCGGTTCATATAAAACTCTTACTTGGCCAGTGGTAAGCATATGTACCACCTCCTACAACATGTCCTAACAGATCGTTGTGTCGGTAACTTATGATCGGGAGGTGCTCGTTTCGAATCTCGGCTAGGACGCCGGCTAACGCGACTGATGATTTTCGTGCTTTTCCTCAGTCCCTGCATGGAAATGCCGGCAGAGTACTTCAATTAGGCCACGATAGTTTCCTTCCAAATCCTTTACAATTTATTAATCTTCATCTGTCATCCTATCATCTTGTCGAACGCTGTGTAGTCTGGCTGCAGATGCTGAAGTGGCAAATGGCAATTGTAGATCTGGACGGCGTCACGATGAAAATGGGATATGAACAAATGCTGAGGGAGGGAGGTGGAGTCGCTCTTACTTTCCGGCCTTGTCTCGTTACATGAGGCTCCATCAGAACCTCCCGAGAGGCTGCTTCTGTTGGGCAGTGTCGGAGCTGCACTCACAGAGATGCATTGCGTACATTTCTGGAGCTTTGTGTGTTATACATGACTTGCCATTCGCTTTGACACTTGTCTCTTGCTCGGATTTTTCTCCGACCTTGAAGATGTAGGCGACGTGTTTTCTTCCGAAGCGTCGGTTGACTTCCACTCATTATGTCCCCCAAACACAGAATTTGTGTGGTATAATTTGCTACCTTCTGGGACGTAACGTCGTAGAACTATAATACCGACGTTTCGAGGAATATATCGTGAGGTGGAAAGACTCGAATGCAAAATCTCAACGGCATTGCAGTTCCCAGCTCCTCTTTCTGTGTGTACGTAAGGGACCCTTGGGGTGGGGTGAGGCTAAGACCACTTGGTACGTCGGCAACTAACTGGCCTATTGTACCAGCTCCAGATGATAGATGAGTGTGGAGGAATCGGTGGAATGAGAATTGGCAGGGGAAATCGAAGCTTGCCCTAGTGCCATTTTGTCCACCATAAATCCCACATGACGTGACTTGGGACTGAACCCGGGCCTCCACTGTGGGAAGCCGGCGATTGGCCGTCTTAGCTATGCCACTGTCTATCCCAGAAAACAGTACCATTCATAAAGCAAAGCTGTCCATGTGCTTAATTAAGCACCATGCCATGAAGACGTATGGAGGGGTGAAGGAATGTCTCCACTATTCTTAACCTCAATATTAGATGTAAGTAAATGGACAGCTTCACGCCCCAGCCGTTTACTCCCGAGCAAACAGCCCCAGGTGCCCACTGGATAGGAGGCTGGGTGGGCGCCAGTGTCGTTCTGGACGCTGTGAAGAAGAGTAAAATATCTCGCTCTTGTCGGGAATCGAACCCCGGCCGTCCAGTCCGCAGTCTGTCACTATACTGACAGAGCTATCCCGGTTCCGAATGGTGGGTTATGAAAGAAGTAGAACAAAGCTGAAGCATTTGTCTGGAGGACCTGAGGTGAAACACGAAGAGTCTCAATCCGCACCGAGACTCCAACAAGTTATGATGAATACAAGTCAGATGCTTTACTGTTTGAGCCAGCCTGATCTGCGGTGCCGTGTAGTCTGGTTTAGGAAGAACGTCATGTATCTCCAACTTAGAGGCCGCGACATAGCTCAGGCGGTTAGTCGCTGGCTTCCCGGGTTCGAGCCCGGCTCTGTTCATCTGAGATTTGTGGTGGACAAAGTGGCTCTGGGGCAGGTTTCCTCAGAGTACTTCGTTTCCCTTGCCAATTCTCACTCCACCGACCGCCCCACACTCATCTATCATCCGGGGCTGGTACAATAGGCTAATAGTGGCCGACGTACCAAGTGGACTCGGTCTCACCCCACCCCAAGAAACAAGAAAAGAAATCGTCTGGTATCTAGCGCCGTGTAGTCAGATGAAAGTCAGCATATGTTTCGGAAGAACATACAGCCTCCATCTTCAGAATCGAAGAATAAGCGAAGCAAGAAAGCAGCGTGAAAACAAGTGACAAAGGGTCTTCGTAACTACCGCTGTGACTACCTGCAACTTTACTTTTACGTACGTGCAATATATCTTTCCGTTTGTGCTGAATCTCTAATTGGTTCCAGTGGCTCCAGAGCCGTTGTCGTCATCACGTCTTGCGCGGATTGGAGCAGTTGATTCTCAGCTCCATGCACTCTGCATTTCTACACAGTCAGTTCTTTTTGTTTGCTCTTCGTCCCTCCCCCTCCAACTTTTTCGTTACCCTTAGCAACGAACAATCAACATTCGCTTCAATAGCCTGAGTCTTCTCTAAGAGGATCAGGGATGTTATTAACTTCAAAGGGTTTCATTACATTTTGATAATGATGTGATTGTGCGTTTATATAGAAATCAAAGAGTGCCGTTTGTTGCATTTATTTTCCCTGTTAATGCTTGTCACGGAAATAATGCCTCTTATTGGTACTAACGTACATATTTAAAGAATTTATCTACTGAGAATATAAAAGAAGCGTTCAGTGCAGTGCAGCACCTTCACGCGTACATACATGCATGCTGCTTTCGCGATAAGAACAGTGCTCTCATTACAAAATTTCGGTCATACTAACCTTCATTATGAAGCGAATATAATCGGCTTGGCTTCTAATCCAAGAGCGATCATCCGAAACCCTTTCCGAACAAAAGCGGACACATGGGAACGATAGCTGAAGAAACGAAAGCAGAACCACCCTGTTAGTTCGACTCACTCCCTCACCTTGTGTCATCTTGCGTAAGAATTTATTGTTTAAAAATTTAGAGCTTTTGCTGGTAACTTTGTTGATTAAGTACAATACTGTGGTGCACTCCAAAGGTTACAGCGTAATCTAATATATTTTCATTGCCTATATATTTCGTTTATAACATATAATTGTGTTCTCTGTTCATTATTTTTTGTCTCTCCGGAATGTGACTCCCAGTTACATAATTGAGCTTGTGGGCAATATAAATTTGCATTACGAAATTATGGTTTACGAAACCTCAGCTTGGACGTAAATTTTCGTACGGGTTGGGACTGCCCGCACACGCCAATCTCGGACTTAAGACTTAATTGCGCTCCCGAAAGCGGATCGTAAATCAAGTTCTTTATAACATGGGACATATAGGGTTACGCTCCCAGAGCGCAAGGTCCAGACCATTTTTTTTTCAAAACTTTAAGCCCTATTTCGCTATAACTGTTTGGTTTGTTACAAATTCCATAAAAACATAAAATAACATAATATTGACGTATTAGCCCCTCTGCTCCTTTCCCCATCAGAATTCATCTGGAACTATGGATATTATAGAGAGTCGGTAGGACGCCTTGGACAGGGGATCAGCCCTCTTATGAGGCTGATATCTACAGAGCACAATACACGCACAAGGATTACGGACACACATCCACACTTCGAATTGATTCGAATTCCCGGTGCGAATGTTGGGACTGGCCTTCCTTAGACAGCACGGCCATTGTGGTCAGCTCAAATATCACGTTGAATTTCTTCGAAATAACATAAAAGGATTCAGTCCGCACCTCACAGGAAACACATTACATCTCCGCTACAAAGCCCAACCGGTTAATGCTGTTTAGGGAAACAGTCGCTGTTTATTGTGAGAACCATACGGAACACACAAATACACTTCCTAATAATATACACATTACGTCTCCAATACAAAACCCAACCGGTTAATGCTGTTTGGAGAAACAGTCGCTGTTTATTTTGAGAACAGTACGGAGCACACAAATAGATTGTGTATAGTGTATAGTCAAAACTGGGCTTTAAGGAGTTAAACATATAAACTATTAAGGTTATTAAAAATAACTTCATAGATTTATATTTGAGCAATCTTGCTCTATAATATTACTTAAGCTCTTTATGTAGGCATATGTATATAATATAGTCTTGTAAACGCAACACGTGATAGACGATTCGTTAAATGCCTCTCAGTGAAATCACCACAGCCGAACAGACGCAACTTCAAACACTGACCACTACAACAAGAATATACACATCGCTGTAATGACGCACGCGATAACAAACAGATCGCAACAGAGAACAAGAGAACGCATATTTCAGCATCCCGTTGTATTGACACATCATCCTGTTTTGGACTAACGTATCCGTCAGTAATACAACTTTAAAAAGACATTAGGAATATGTTGTTCACTAAAATGCACTTTAATACTATGACAGTTCAAATCAATAAAATGCCCGTAGGCCTTTACATAGTACACAAATTTACACATTAAAGTCAATGTTCACACTCCTCAAA